TATGAAGGCCGGCACCGCACACGTTAAAACACGACGCACTCGCAGAGGGCTATCAAAATACTGTCTAGCGCTTTGAAATTAGGTGGTGGATATTATCATGATAAACGTTGACATGATGTTTTAATCTCACATTAATGCTCTCATCTTAAAGGGAATGACATTGGACGTAAGGGAGTTATCGTGTTTTTGTTTCGTGAAAAACGAACGCTATGGCAATGAGACTGTTTTTTTTCCTTTCTAATACGGCAGTCACAATAGGGTGTGAGCACCTACTCCTGTGCACGTCTTAGCAGCCCGTACCACGCGGCACGTGTTGTTTTTTATGATTTCAATGAAATTGGAAGAAAAAAAATGTCTCTCCATTGCCACCGGACGATGCAATTTTGCAACAACAAAATAATTGAACCGCGACTGTCAACGCAGAACACGCTCTCTGTAACCGATGTTCTTACGCAGATAATGTAGTTATTTCCATCACCTTCGTTCGCGCAAACTTTATTCGATATTTCGCACCCCGATCACGCAACCCGTAAACAGTGGGGCGGTGATCAAAAAAGCAAGGACGTGTTCAAGTGGCCTCCGTGCTTTTGGGCGTCATGCAAACACGTCGATTTGATCGCGCGAAATGTTTAATATGTTGCTACAAGTAAAAGTTTCGTGTTAAACGGATAACTTATTAAATCACCCAAAATAGACTCTCGCCTCGACTAATGCGGCATCGTCCTTGCCCGATCTTGACGGAGTCATTTCGAGAGACTCGAACGGCCGCAGCATCATCGAGGCTCCCTCGTCCTTGGCCAGAATCCAGTCACCTTCCCTCGACTCCCTCCGCTGCGTGGCCTGTACGTTGAACCTCTGTCACGCCGTACGTAGTCAACCGCGCTGGTCGGACGTGCTGGGGGAAAGACAACAAACTAAATGGAGAAAGCAAGTTCTACAGAAATTAGTTTTTAATATAGTTCTAAAAGTGCACAGCTCCCAGCGGCTTCCTAATATTGGAAGGAAGAGCGTTCCAGACGGCCGCAGGAGCGCAACTGAAAGCGCCGCGCGATGCGGCTGGGTCACCTACAGACCTCCTGCCTCAGCCACCGCTCCACTACTCTCGGACATCCACCGCATCTCCCTCCACTCCTGTCACCCTGCACTACAGCTCCTGTCACCCTGCACTACAGCTCCTGTCACCCTGCACTACAACTCCTGTCATCCTGCACTACAGCTCCTGTCACCCTGCACTACAGCTCCTGTCACCCTGCACTACAGCTCCTGTCACCCTGCACTACAGCTGCTGTCACCCTGCACTACAGCTCCTGTCACCCTGCACTACAGCTCCTGTCACCCTGCACCATAGCTCCTGTCACCCTGCACTACAGCTCCTGTCACTCTGCACTACAGCTCCTGTCACCCTGCACCACAACCCCTGTCACCCTACACCACAGCTCCTGTCACCCTGCACTACAGCTCCTGTCACCCTGCACTACAGCTCCTGTCACCCTGCACCACAGCTCCTGTCACCCTGCACTACCGCTCCTGTCACTCTGCACCACAGCTCCTGTCACCCTGCACCACAGCTCCTGTCACCCTGCACTACAGCTCCTGTCACCCTGCACTACAGCTCCTGTCACCCTGCACCACAACCCCTGTCACCCTGCACTACAGCTCCTGTCACCCTGCACTACAGCTCCTGTCACCCTGCACTACAGCTCCTGTCACCCTGCACTACCGCTCCTGTCACCCTGCACTACCGCTCCTGTCACTCTGCACCACAGCTCCTGTCACCCTGCACTACAGCTCCTGTCACCCTGCACTACAGCTCCTGTCACCCTGCACCACAGCTCTTGTCATCCTGCACTACAGCTCCTGTCACCCTGCACCACAGCTCCTGTCACCCTGCACTACAGCTCCTGTCACCCTGCACCACAGCTCCTGTCACCCTGCACTACAGCTCCTGTCACCCTGCACTACAGCTCCTGTCATCCTGCACTACAGCTCCTGTCACCCTGCACTGCCGCTCCTGTCACCCTGCACTACAGCTCCTGTCACCCTGCACTACAGCTCCTGTCACCCTGCACCACAACTCCTGTCACTCCGCACTACAGCTCCTGTCACCCTGCACTACAGCTCCTGTCACCCTGCACTACAGCTCCTGTCACCCTGCACCACAGCTCCTGTCACCCTGCACCATAGCTCCTGTCACCCTGCACTACCGCTCCTGTCACCCTGCACCACAGCTCCTGTCACCCTGCACCATAGCTCCTGTCACCCTGCACTACAGCTCCTGTCACCCTGCACTACAGCTCCTGTCACCCTGCACTACAGCTCCTGTCACCCTGCACCACAGCTCCTGCCGCCCTGCACTACAGCTCCTGTCACCCTGCACTACAGCTCCTGTCACCCTGCACTACCGCTCCTGTCACCCTGCACTACAACTCACAGTGGAGCTCTCCACAGCAGCAGGGCGACTCCCAACCTCCCCCTCTCCACACCGAGGAGCGAGGCCACGGCCTCTGCCGGCCGTCTCCGTGGCAGTCCCTGCCGTCCGCAACGCCGTCCCAACCTCACGTTGGCAGCGTTCAATCTTCACCGACTTCTCAGAGACACTCGGAGGCCCCAACTCATCTCTCGCTCGCTCGCTGCTGGCTTTTCGAGCCACACTGAGCCTGGCTTCATGCCCCAGAGTCACGGCCACTTGTGCCCGTGACATATTTTGCTGCGCGTTAACGATTGCGGTGTTCTTGTTGTTAACCAACCTGCAAGTCTCAATCGCGATTTCACTTGGGAAAGTTCGTACCGAGGGGCCGATAATTAATCGGGGGAAGAAAAAAAAGTATACTTGTGAGCCAAATGTCTCGGTCATCGACATTCTCGTCACTGAGCCGGTGAAGAAGATGCCGGCGGTTCGGTCCCCGCGGCAATCAGGCGACGTCCCTGGGAATTGTGAATTGGACATCGGAGAGGCCGAGAGACTCCTTCAGCGCGGGCCCACGGTGCGGACCGGTCGAGGCGTCCCCCTGCTCACACGAGCCCAGGGTGGGGCTCATCCCCGATGGTGCGTTGCTTGGAACCGGCGGTGGAAATTCCAAACGTTTTTGTTTGGGGGGGGAGGGGGGGGGGTTCGTTTACGATAGTGGGGCAAGCCTCGTCAAAGGTGAAATAAAAACATCGGCGTCGTATCTCAAAAAACCCAATTCGTATATTTGAATTACTATCAACCGCGTCTGAAACATTTTTATAATTCCTGCCGAGCTGTCATTTTGTGGCCCCCTGCTCTGTGACGATGGGGCTCTCACCCGCTTAAATAAAGGACATCGAATGGCGTAAAGCAACCGTCTGGCTATCGACCTCGAATCGGAGTATCAAGAGAACCTGCCCAACCTAAATGCAAACCTCCCCCCCCCCCCCCCCCAAATAATACCCCCCCTCCCGCCCTCCGCTAAACATTAGGCAGACAACAACAGCAGCAGCATTGTATAACATCGCACAACGCACACGTTGCCTCTTTTCCCATTGGAAATATTCCGCATCTCTTTATTTCATTGCACGGCAGGACTAACGGTTTGGGCGAGTTTCCCACGAGGATCAAAACAAGAACACGGGAATATACATGGTAAACAAAAGCGGCGGCAAGCGAGCTAATGTGAGCATAAGAATATATTTTACCTTTTTTGGCACTAAAATGGGTGGTGTTCAAACACCAAACAGAAACCTTTCGCAAGCCATCAAGTCCGCATGAAGCACACAGAGTACTTGTGTTGAACATGCAAAGAGAAAAAAAACACACACTCTGGTAATATATATGCATTGTCTTTGAAAAGCTAATCTTACCATGATTGAATTTTGTCAACGTCAAAGGTCAAGTGATTGTATTTCACGTGGCGCTAAAAACCGGAATGCACGGAGCAGATCTCGCAGACTTTCTATGCCGGGGCACGGAATCTCACGGAGAAAGGGACTTTTTTTTCCGCCCGCAAAATAGTTTTTGTGTTGGTGTAAAGTTACATCATTAACCTTTAAGCGAGGCACACTGTTCGAGTGCGCGGGACACAAGGAGCCACGGCATGTCATTTAAATGCATATCGCTTTAATTTGTCCATTGATTGATTTATTTAAAAGCCACGGGTAGCTTGTGAGCTTCAGGGGCACAACTATCTCTTTGAACGGGGGGGGGGGGGGGGTGGGCTATGTAAGATCCAACTGTGGGCCCCCCTCCTTCATCCCGACTCACTTTTAACTGAAATAGCTACGGATGGTTTTTCACCCCGTATACACTAATATGTAGGCTATAACTTTATAGTTTTTTTTATTTTAGTTGCACCATGTATTGGGTTTAGATGAAGACAGTCTCACAGTGACAGTATTAATAACACGATTTCAAGGGGCCAATACTCACAATTAAGTGACCGTGCGTCTTTGCTTTCATGCCGACCCCATTGGTCGAGGATTTCATCAAAGGGGGTGGATCTCGCTACTTGATGCTGCTCTATTCATAAGATAGCCAGATGCATTAATCGGCCTTGGTCCATGGTAGACCGCAGTCATTTTAATGAATACATTTTTTTTATCTTAACATGTTGTTATTTGTTTATCTATTCTAGATTTAAAGCTTTCGTGACTGCTAGGATCCATACTCTTTGGTTCTATTGGGTAAAGTCACGTAGGTGAAAATAAAATAACAAAAAATCACGACGTTTCGGCCACAACACAAGCGGCCTTCATCAGGTGAAGGGACGAGACTGTCTGGAGGACAGCGCTGGAGTGGATCCTAACAGTCACGAAAGCTTTAAATCTAGAATTGATAACCTCTATGGGGAGGGTTTTCACCTATCTGTTAGAGCTTTAAACAGACAACGGGACAAGAAGTCGCACCACTCCAGCGCTGTCCTCCAGACAGTCTCGTCCCTTCACCTGATGAAGGCCGCTTGTGTTGTGGCCGAAACGTCGTGATTTTTTGTTATTTTATTTTCACCTACGTGACTTTACCCAATAGAACCAAAGAGTATTTGTTTATCTGTTGATTCGGGGCCCTCTTGTAGCCAACTGGGCCCCTATGCCTCGTATAACGCTGCCGCTTACCCCCTACCAGAGTTACGCCCCTGGTTTAGCAAGCACCGCGTCTCTTGCAAGTGAAATCCGGCGACGCTGCGTTACCAAGCCGCGTAGGTAGAACTGTGAGGTCTCGGGTCAAGTGTTCATTTTACAAACGAGACTTTGGAAAGACGCCGTACATTAGTGAAGAACCAAGAACGTTGATTGAGCTCTGTTCAGGCAAATCAGCATCGGTCAAAGCGACGTGGAGGACAAAATGCTGTTGAAGGTGATCGTTTAAAAAGTCACGCTGAAATTCTACGTTTCATCGAAAGTCGATATTTTTCCACTGTTCCTACACCACCAAAAGTCCGTGCCACATCGAGGTGGCTTATCACGTGGAAATGCATAGCAGCAAATCGCCGCCGGTGTCCACGCCAACGACATTGTCGCAGCCCTTCAACAGAGCATTCGTAGTTAAACGCAATCAATTATTTACAGTTTCGTTGGAAATGTACAACGAATAAGAATGTTTTTTGGGGAGGACGTTTCAAAAAAATATTCCAGTTTTGCCGATTGGTGTCATGTCAAAAGCCAGATTTAGATCGTGTTTTGTTTTCACACTTTTGTGGAACTGTGAAATTAGAAAATTCTTTAAAAAAATTCAAAGACTTTCAGCCTCATTCGTGAAGCGGCCTTTTAACTCATATTTCCTTGCACAAAAATTAATTCATAAAATAGCACCATTTGGTGCCCGCAGCCATCCTCGTAGTGCATGGTGATGACGGACACAGTCCACAGTGGTCTCACAACAGAGGGGGGCGGCGTGATGCTTTGGGTGCGCAATCCCAGTTGAGCAATTTGCGCTCTCATATTTCCCATCCGGCACCAAGCGTCTGACGGTGAGCACTCCCGCCGGTACACACCGGGACCGGCGGGACGCGCCGAGTTGGCGTGCTCGTGACAGCCGGCGCCGCCTCGTGACCACCACTCCCCACCACACATCTCGCCTGTCACCGTCACTCGAAGAGGCCCGAGCGAGCGGGCGTGAGAGATGGAGATGTCTGCCCCTCCCCGCATCACAAAAGACAAAAAAACGAATGGTCTCGCTCATTGCTCGCTCGCTCACAGGTCAGCAGCCAGCGCCCGAGACGTGCGCTCATTCACCAGCTCCGTGTCAGGGCAGAGCTCTCCATCACTCCGGCTATTCCCGAAACGACGAAGCCTCTCCCGAGTTGGTTTCCCGAGCTCGGCCGTTGGACGTGTGAAATCTGTCAACAAAATTATAAATTATACATCGTGTACCGGATATATAAATGTTGATAGATTCAGTGTTGTTGCTGTTGTTACGTACTTTTTTATGGACTGTTATTTCTTCCCAAAGCGTATTCTGTATATATACTTGCTGTATGATGCACACGTTATTATTGAACTTCCACACGTTCAAATTTTGATTTAAAGCTTTCATGACTGCAGGGATTCATATTCTTGGTTCTTTCGGTAAAGTCACGTAGAAGGGAAACAATCAAATAATAAAAATATAAAACAATAAAATTATCACGACGTTTCGACTGCTTGTGTTGCAGTCGAAACGTCGTGAGAATTGTATTGTTTTATATTTTTATTATTTTATTGTTTCCCTTCTACGTGACTTTACCGAAAGAACCAAGAATATGAATTCCACACGTTCAGTTTAAATTTTTTCGGGAAACGTCAATTTTATTCGACAAATTATTCCATTTTTATGGTATCCAATGAAGGTTTTTTTTTTGTTCCCTAATAATAAAATTATTATTTAGATTTGGAAGGCGCATTTCATCCGTGGATCCAATGCGCCATCTGTGTGGTGAGCGATGGGCAGTGCTCGTACACATCAGAGGTCCTGAGCCCCGAATGAAAATGGCACAATCGTTGTTGTTGATGATCAGTATCCACAGGACAACATTTTTTGATCAACCATGAAGTGGAATTCATGTCATTTATCCCAGGAGGATGCTAGGCTCAATTGACCCTGGCTGGGATTTGAATTTGCTGAGTTTTGACTGTGAGGTTGGTGCTCTGCTAAAGTTCCACCTGGCAAGATTGTCACATTTGTGGAAGGGCATTGTCTATCAATTCAGGTCAATGGGTGGAATCACCTACGTGCCACCAAAGCTGCCAATACGTGCAGTTGCTGTGTGAACACACAATAGTAATCAACGATGCTAATTATACATTTGTGTTGGGTATCAGATAGTTCTTCTTTGGTTCTTTCGGTAAAGTCACGTAGAATGAGAATAAAATAATAAATTGATAAAATAAAATAACACAATAATTATTATTGTGTTATTTTATTTAAAGCTTTCGTGACTGCAATGATTCATCTTCTTTGTGTTGGGTATCAGATAAATTGATAAAATAAAATAACACAATAATAATTATTGTGTTATTTTATTTTATCAATTTATTATTTTATTCTCATTCTACGTGACTTTACCGAAAGAACCAAAGAAGATGAATCATTGCAGTCACGAAAGCTTTAAATCGAAATTTATCAGATAGTTGTACATCGAGCCAGGATCCATATCTAACAGTCCTTGCTTATGAACATCTTCCGGTTCACCAGCCATTGGTTTTAGAAAGCATGACTCTGCTGATGACATCACGTGATATCGAAACCGGTCCTGAGTTTTGCTTGCGTTGAACCAACGCCGCTGGAACTCTGCACTCCCAGAATGCCGTGTGGCTGTTGAGACGTGTTTCACAATAATTATTTGTTATTGTATGAGGAGGGCAGGTCGGTGGAGGAGGCATATCATCTGCTTACTTTTTTTACACCACTCTAGTGCTGCGAGAAACTACGAGTAGCCTGGCAAACACAATCGCTTTCAAGAGATGTTTGTTTGTTTAAAAATATAATTGCACCAAAGTGAAATGAACTTGGATTGCATCTCATATTATATGAAGCAAAGTACATCACTTACCCTTCAGTAGTAACCAGAGTTGAAAGTGAAGCATGCGCCATGTTAAGCGTATTATGTTAGTGATAATTTGTATTTAAGATGTACTATTGTATGTCAAAATGCATATATTAACCGCGCTTATCTCTGACGATGGCCCTAAGCCAGTAGTGGACATTCCACGTTCCTATGCCGAAGGCCAAAATTCGCTCTCCTGTAATTGCATGAAAAAAACACTACGGACGTGATAATAATATCGACAGCAGATTACCAGATATATGAAGGTACCTGTTCAATCAATGTGCTCCCTGCTAACATGATCAAAGTAATGCGGCATCAATTGTTGGCGCAGACCCCAGAGAGAATGTCAATTAGACATTACCATTGCGGAACAAAAGTTCTTCACAAAATGACCAAATGTTACTTTCCACAAATTTTAAATCCTGCTCCAGCGGGGGGGGGGGGGGGTGGGGTGGGGGGGGGGAGCCATTGGTCACGCTAATATATTTAATGTCACACGAGTAAGCCACACTTTTCATAATCTTAATTCACCGTGCATTACTTTAACATTTCTCATGGAAATTGTGTACTTTATACACAAGCGGCAAATGGTCCATCCCTGCTGTTCAGCACGCACGGCATCTTGCAGCTTTAACTCCACTAAAACCTGTTTCCAACTGAGAAATATGCAATTACGAAAATGTCTCTTTCACGTCGGCAGCTCTGTAGCTTCCGTGGTAATGACGCTTTTTTTTTGTTTTACTAAAATAAACCCTCCACCCCAACACAATACCCACAGCCTGCCGTGGTCGATTGGAATCGTAGCGAAGGCAGCGCCGGATGGCTAACTCCGCTCGACGAGAACGCTGCAATTGAGAAAAGTTTCCACGGTCTCTTTTCTGAGCACGAGTCGCACGTGCGTGCGTATGCGCGTTGTCCAGTTTCGACAACAGTATGAAAAATAGGAATAGGTGTTTACCCCTTACTGGCAATAAAACAGGAAGTCTTCAGATGTTTAAACAACAAGTAGAAACCTTTTTGCAATGAATCAAGTACTGAACTAACCGCACACAGTACTTGAAGTGAACATGCAAACAAAGTTGCTGTGAATATTCTTGGTTCTTTCGGTAAAGTCACGTGGAAGGGGAACAATAAAATAACAAAAATATAAAACAATAAAATTCTCACGACGTTTCGACTGCAACACAAGCAATCATCATCAGGTGTGAAGAACCACAACAAGAACATTTGAAAAAAGTGGCGTTTTATTTTTAACGTTAGCACCACGGAGAGCGATTTGACAGTTTGTTCAGATGGACGAGTCCATCTATGTTCGGAAAAGAGGAGTGGGGAGACGAAAAATAACGGATGCGGTCTGAAAGCCACCTTAAGCGTGAACAATCAATTAAGACCCGAAATGGTTTATCAAATCCTTCCAATGATTTCCCTTCTACGTGACTTTACCGAAAGAACCAAGAATATGAATCACTGCAGTCACGAAAGCTTTAAATCAAAAGTTGCTCTGATCATGTAATTGCATTGCCTTTGAAACGGATTGACCTGCACCAGAGACAGCGGCCTTCTTCATGGCATCGTCTCACCAGTGTCAGAGCAGAGAACACCGCCAGAAGGCGAACAAGTGTTTTATGCTCAGAAAGGGTAAAACCGATTCTCACATTTTAATTCCTTCGCATACCGTACGTAGCCAGCCGTGGTAATCGGAGGCGCGGGGGGAGGACAGCGGATCGTTTCGGTTTTTTACGGCCATTTCTTTTACATAGTTTCTCCTAACAACGCTATAATTGTGAAAGGGGCATTTGCCTTTAACGTCAACGCTCTGATGTTATTTCTCACCAGCAGGCTGCGGCGACTTTATCTCGGCATTGCGTCGGACACGTTAACGTCTCCACGGGGCTCCCGGCCGAAACGAGCCTCCGCCTAATGAAGTGCACGCGTACGCTTCTCTCTCTCCCTTTCGAAAATCGTTTAAAATAAAATTGAAAAAAAACACGTGAAAATGAAGAGGACGAACGAGAATAAATCCCCGTCACGTCCCCAGATGCGGTCGGTGGCCAACGCGACGCCCGACCGCCTTTGTCTCCTAGGTCTAAAAGTGCACAGCATCTGAAAGCGCGCAACGCCGTGACAGTCTATATGTTCGATGGCTAGCAAAAAGCCGCCGCTGCGAGGATGAACCCGAGTTCGTGTGATGGATTTACACTCCTCGACGAGATCGCCAAGGTTTTGTGGTTCGTTCGCGGCAAGCGCTTTGTTAGAACGCATGGGCGAAGGAGGGCCCGTATATGTGAGGATCGCAGCATCGTGGAGAGACCTGTAGGTGAGGAGAAGAATCTTGAACTCAGTGGAGCGATGTCAGCGCAGGGCGTCATATGTTCAGTTGCGGGTTGAAGTGGCCCGTCAGGTTTTCTTTAGGAGTTGAACGAACGAGGAGCTGCTCTTGATGACGGGAGATCGTTGATCGCCGTGCAGTCGCAAGGTTTATCACGGCACTATTCGTGATTTCGCACCTAACAGAGTGGGCCACGTGGAAGCTGCGATCTTGAACTCCGATACAGCGATGGCCACTATGTGCGAAGCCAACAGTGGGAATCGTATATGGACACACTGCCACAGGCCATGGGAATGTGAGGTTTTCCCACTGTTTGCTCAGAGGCCACCCGGGCAAAAATGAGGCCCACCCAGCACTTGCTGCTCGAGCAGGGAGACAATCTGACGTGCACTGTCACCATTACTCCAATGCTCTCAGGCGCCACGGTGGCTAGGAGATGTTAACTACCTCGCCTGGTGTACATGAGATCGTGGGTTCGATCCCAACATCGATTCATTTGGAGTTTGCGTCTCTCTCTCTCTGTGGTCGCGTGGAGTTTTCTTCGTAGTCCTCCGGTTTTTCCCTCCACATTTATAAACACGCATTTATAGTATTTGGCTGCGATAAATTTCCACGTGATAAGCCACTCCGTTGAGCTATCGTTTGTGGTCAGGTCGCTTTTGAAAAAGAGCTAAATTACGCAATGGGCCCTACGTGTTAAAATACAAATGAATGTAAAAAAAAGTTAATTCATGTTTTCTTTGTAGTTGTTGTTAAAGTGTACTGACGGCATCTTGCTACGCATTTGCAATAAGACACTGCAGGTATTGGCATCGCATTGCAATAACAGTATAGCGTATACAAACCGGTACGTGCATCCTTATAGCGATAGGAAATGCATTTCCTGTGCCTCTATCTGCGCGTGGTCTTCCTGCAGGCTTGTCCCAGCGCGGCCACTATTCCACCATTGGATTTTGCGGGGTAGCGGCAAGATACAGTACAA